GCCGCGGCAGCAGGCGAAGCCCTTCTGACCGCTCTCGGGTCTCCATGTCCCGGTTGGTTCTTTCTTTTTTTTTTTTTTTTTTATATATATATTTTTTATTTTTTTTTCCTCCTCCTTTGATTTCTCTTTGGGAAAAGCACTTTGACTCCTGACTGCTCTACCTCAGACCTGAGAAAAAACTCGTCACGCTCGCTTTTTGGCGTTTGGCTTTGGTTTTTTTTCTTTTTTTTTTTTTTTTTAATTTTTAATTTTTACGAGCGCCGATCTTTATAGTCGTTGTTGTTTTATTGTTACTCTTATTATTATCATTGTTGCTGTCGTGGTTGGTAGCGGCCGGGATTCTGCGGTTGTGTCGAAGCGCTGGTCTCCTCGGGCAGTGGGTGGTTTCTCCTGTGTATCCCTCCTAGGACACTCGAACGAAGATTTTTTCTTCCTCCCTTCCTTTTTCTCCTCCTTCACTTCTCCAAGGCTTTTAAAACAAACACACAAAAAAGCAAACCTACGCCGGTGTTGTCGTCTTTTCAAAATTTTTTTGTTGTTTTTTATTTTTAATTTTTTTTTTTTTTTGCTTGACATCTGGGAAACCACTACCCCCCGCTCTCAGAAATAACCAAAGACAATGGTTCACTGTGCAGGCTGCAAAAGGCCAATCTTGGACCGGTTTTTGTTGAATGTACTGGACAGGGCTTGGCATGTGAAGTGTGTTCAGTGCTGTGAATGTAAATGCAATTTGACAGAGAAATGCTTTTCGCGAGAAGGCAAGCTTTACTGCAAAAACGACTTCTTTCGGTAAGTACCGGCCCCCCCCCTGCCCGGAGCCGTAGCTCCTCCGCATCCATTTTTCATCTCCCTTTTCCCCCCCGCTTTTTTTTTGTTTGTTTGTTTGTTTTCCCCCGTTGGTCGGTGTGACCCGCGGACGCCCCGTCCGAACCCCGGTGTTATTTCCCCAGGTGATCTCCGGGGGCGGGCGGGGGGGTCCTGCCCGGGGAAGGGGCTCCCCGTCGGGGCCGGCAGACCGAGGCCCGGCCGCTCTCGACGGGCACCGGTCGAGCTCGAGTTCCCCAAAGTTACCTCGAAACTATCGACCGGCGGAACGATAGCGGGGGCCGGTCCCGGTGCCGCGGAG